TTGAAATGTCTGAAAGGTCGGACACAGGCGAGAGCGTATCGGGAGACGGAGACCAACAAGACCTCCCTCATTATGGCCCTATCTCACAGAATTTATAGAAATAGTCCAAAAATTGAGCTTTCAGTTCATATAGCGGCATCTGGCTGTTTTTATTAAAGGTTACTTTATACTATAAGTAGTTTTTGGAGCACATACTTTTTCACTTTTACTTGAGTAAAGAGGTCAAGTTGATACTTCAACTTTTACCAGAGTGTTTTTAAACTGCAGGATCTATACTTCTACTTAGTAACAAATGTGTGAACTTTAGACATAACCTTTCACCTCCTTCCAAAGAACTTTTAGGAACAATATCCAGATGATTCACCTCCCACCCACCTCACCTGACTCACTTCAATGAGACATATGATAGAAACCGCTGTGATGACTGAGTTAGTGAGCCATCAGATTCCCCTGATCAGATCCACCTTTAGTTCCTAATAATTCTTTGTTCCTCCTCCAGTATATTAATCCCAGTCCTCCCACCACTTGTTAGAAGGAGAATCGTCTTCTAGAAAACTTCACGTCCAGTTGGCTAAACTTTTTCAATAACACTAAAGAGTTGCTGCTGCCTAAAATGAGAATTTGGTGGATGAGTGACCTGCAAAGCAGTGAACTTTTCAAACAAGATGCACCAGAACGCAGAATAGTCCACGATACTTTAACAAATTCATGAAAACATTTCTTTGAGTTAAAACATGGCTTCAGGCCTACTACTTAGTCCCTGGAAAGATGGAAGCCGCTCGCCGCCACAACCTCCAGCTTCAGCTGCTAACACCAGCAGACCAACCTGCAGAAACACACCAACGCTAGTGATGCTATGAGGTGAGCCGAGGCTTCGAAGCATGTTGAGTAATGGAGGGGGCGTTTCCCCGAAGCGTGTGTGAGGTGTGATTCATTTAGAGGCGGGGCCAAAATTAATTACGTGTGAGGCCTCGCTACCGTGATACCAGGTGACCGCTTTAGGAAGCGGTTCAGGAAGCGGAAGAATTTAGACAGGCATCTAAACAGCCTCAGTATTCAGCCAAGATGTTGGAGTTTGTTGGAGAGTTGCTGTCAGTTGGATAGATTCTAAGAATAGATTGGTCGTTTTTCCAACCAATCTAGTTGGTTCAAACTATTTCTGTTAGAATAAACAATGTAATGATCAAACTGATCGAGCCGCTGGACGCAGTGGTAACGCTAGTGTAGTATTTTCTCCATTGGAAAGTTAAACACATAAGTGGCGCCATCTCTAAGATACAGACTCCCTCTCCTGAGGTTGATGGTTCAATACCCACCTGCAATTATACTTAAATATTTTGGCTCATGAGACTAATTTGCATTGGTTTGCCTTAGTAAAAATATTGACTGGGTAAAAACGCTGTCAAATTAGGTCGGTTTAGCCAAAAGATTGGTTAAACACAACTTCCAACCAGATTAAAGCCAAAAAATGTGGAAAAGCTATAATGTTTGAATAAAAATGAATAAAATATTTTATTTTGCTCATCGTTGCCCAATTTAACAAACACTTTCACTGTCTGCTTGAGTTTATTTCACTAAATTGGCAGAAAAACTGTGCGCCTTAAATGATTGTTCTAAGAAATTTCACACTTAAAAGAAAAAATTACAAAATATTTTATCATACACACCAACCATTAACTATTTCAAAGGAACTTAAAAGGGGAAAAAAAGAAAAACAGTTTTATTGCTAACTGTAGTTCTGCACTCCACCAGTAGGTGGTGGCATGTTCACATGGAGCCTCATGAACTGTGGGGATCGTTGAAGCAATTTGGCCAAACGGTTGAATGAGGCTTCATCTCAACGTCACTAAGCAAAGCTCAACCACGATCGCAGCCACAGACGACACAATCGGCACTCGTGATTTCAGATGAGCGGATCAAGCCCACCAGCCAATCAGGCAGCCGACATGTAGGGGAACAAAGACACGCGCACCTGGCAGAGGCCGCTCAGCTATGAAGCCATCTGCCCCGCCCACCAATCTGCGGCTAGCTTCTTGCTACACCTGGTGCCCAGAGTGGGGGTGGGACACCTGGTGCCCAGAAGGGGGGGAGGGGGGAGGAACACCTGGTGCCCAGAGTGGTTCTTCCTGCTCCGTTTGTCCCAGACTTTGGGGAGGCCTGGTTGCCTTATAACGGAACGAAATGGAGCTCTTCAGAAATTGGATCATTAAAA